TTTCATCATGCCATGATCTCTGAAGAGGTTTCGAACCTTAGAAACTCATTTTACCACCGATATCTGACTATGACAATGGGCTTAAACATCTTCGAAGGTGTTTTTCATCAGACCTTGATCTACAATTCAAATTCACTAATTTCAAGTCCATTTAGAAAGCAGATATTGTTATTTTTTTCTCCAAGTAAGGCAATGGCTGCAAGTCAAGTCTGCCAAATACTAAAATAGGCATCAAAAGACCCACAAGGCGTTAGTTCCACATTTCAAAGAGGCCGGAAGCTCCACCTGGTCACATAATCTATGGTAAACGTATCCCGTGGCAACAATGGTCGCCATTTCTGTGTTTTCATGACGTCAATGTTTATTTTCAATATTATTTTGCATCAACGACGAATTCCTTTGGTATGGACTATTTAAAAGCTAACATTTTCGGATCCTATTTTTGGTATCCTATGGGAAACATTCCTTGAATTCGTCAACATGTGAAGGTTACTTCGTGTCAAACTTTAGGCAGTGCATTCCGAGTTGACATCGGCAATAAAGAGATCTATTGAGGGAATGGATGCCCTCCGTTTTTGGCCTATTTTGGGTGACAGTTCAAGTACGTTTTCGGATCTTTGTAAAAGAAGTCTTGTTGTCGTTATATACTCACGCCCCACCCCCTCCTTTAAGTCCTTTATCGAGTGAAGAATTAAATATATGCCTGTCATATCCAAACAGGTGCGAAATCTGTAAACATGCCAATAACCTTACATCGACCACAAACCGCAATATCATTTATCTTCCTTGATAGAAAACGCCTTCAAATACAACAAAAACTCACCATTTTACTACTAAAATACATCAAAATCCAGTATATGACGTCATCACCATAAAAAAAGAAAAGAATTGATGTTTCCCGTCAAGAAAGAATGCAAGAACAATGGATGCATCAGTGCATAAAGTCAAATAGTTGCAGTATTTTGGAATACATATAGTAAACAAACGATTTAATATAATGAAAGGAGACACAGAATGTGACCTTGTACAAGTCAATCTCGGTCGTAAAAAGTACAGGTGCGTCTTTCTGGAATTATCCTCTCTAAAAACACAAGCATCTGCTTCTTCGCTACAACTATACTTAAAGAGTTATCAAGTACGGACCACACTACAGTCCTTATTCCAGCTATCCCTTCAGCTAAGGGACTCCCTCTGTTCTCCAGTGACCTTCTTTCATGACCAAAAGTCAACCACAATGTACGAAAGGCGGTTATTGCAGTCAAGGTATAATACGAAGTTAGTAATAACTTGAATTCGTGAAGATGCTACATGTGGAGCACGATGACCTCCGCGCCGGGTGAAGGCCTAGCTGCCCTGGAAGTATGGTCTATTTCGGTAACAGTAAACACTACTATAACTGTAAACAACAGTAAAGCATGTCTTAAAGAAACAGTACTAAAAATTTTAATCAAGAACATTATTCTCATATTAATAGAATTTTGCAACCTTACAAAGAATTACGAATCATATCTCATTACAAATAGCTACGCCTTGTCGAGCTACTCATGAAATTTATTTCTGGTTTCGTTAAATTCAGTTAAAGATGAAATGATGCTTTGATGGTCGGTCTGTATTGATGGTCAGAGATCTTTGGTGTAAATTAAAAAGAGCGATTTTCCTATCCGACCTTCGTACAAGTCGCATCCGTCAAAGAAATTGAAAGGAACGATTGACCTATGTACATGCAAAACCCACGAATGGATGCGTTTTTGGCAGTACGTGATCTGCTGTCTTTTGCTTTTAATCCTACACCATATTTAATTTAAAAGGACGATACCGATGACACCATCAAAACAAATAATCCATCTGTTACCTATATTGTTACTTTAATGTTCGACATGCTATAGATTTGCAAGTAGATCAGGTCAAGGCTTCCAAGGAAAACCCAGCATCTCAGTCTATTGTCCACAAACGGGACGATGCTAAATCAAGTGCATCTACTGAAGTAAAGCGATGCAGTGTACAATGGGGTAAGGTTTGCCACAGCTTTTACTACAGAAGGATTTCTTAAATATTTTCAAATTTTACACAATAGTACTAAAAAAAGAGGCATATTATTGTTTCTATTTAAGATTTGTTTACGACTGAGAAGATTCTAAAGTTCAAGGTCGTGCGTGTATGATATGACATTGAGAAGGGAGGGGATGTCAACTTATGGTTTGATGGATGCCATTTCTTTTCAATCAAACAACCCAACTTGACAAATCTAAAGGTTTAAAAATGATCGACAATATTTCAATTAATTAAAGGCAAAATAACAATAACTTCCTGGCTTGGATTGATAAACACACCAAAATTGTCCTAGAAATCGTGGGTTCTTGGGAGCTGTAGGCCCTCTCTGAATCCATCTGCACAATATCAATCTATAACGGTTGATAGCAACCTTTCTTGTATCGCGGAAGTTTGCAAATGCTGCGAGCGATTTGACCGGATTGTACGTAAGGTAATACAGTATATAAGTATTTACAACTATTGCGCAATAAAGCCTTCAGGTTAATTAGGAGAAAACATCCCTTTAAATCTACAGAACAATGGCTTTATTTATCAGAAGCCACATGATTAAATTAATTTTTGCAAAATAATTTTGATAAACTGTTCAGGTTACATATGATTGATTGAAGGATTTCACATTCTGGCACATTCTGTTTGAGTAAAAAATGAGTGGCACTTGCCGTTTCCTGCATAATTACGTTTAGTGTTTCTTTCTGCTGTGATACAATTTCATTCGTAAACAATGTACATGATGAAACCAAGTAATTGAAAACGGGTTGTCAAGTATATGTGACATTTGTTGCTTTTCTTCGTGGCACCTTCCGTGTCTGCATATTGAGCCCTACTTTCCAACAACTCATTGGGCTGATTAAGAATATAAACGCACTAAGATAGCTAAGCACTAAGCTACTCACTGTCTCATTTGCAATTGTCAAAGGGTCCTAAGTGCAGAGTCTGTAACAAAAAGGCATTCCAATCCTAACAACAAGCCGCCTTTCCCATGTCGTTTCATCGTAAAGGAACCTTGACAGGCAACGAAGGTGAAGCTAAAAAACTGGGTTAATGCAACGCTTACTACTAACTCGTAAAAAAGGTCATAATCTGGACATTTATGGTGATGTATCTAAAGGTATTTCAAACGCCTTGAAAATATGAGAAAAATGTCAGTAAATTATACAATATTTGATCATTTAATCCATTAGAGTCATAATTCTGTCATAGAAATCTCAAAAAATTGCCAAAATGTGAGTTAAAACCCCACAAAAATGTCATGAAAATTAATAGTTTTAATATATATCATTTTTGCCACTTTCCCGAAGATCCAGATCAATAACTTTGTCAGGTTTTTACATGATTATGTGTTTTGTAGCTTTTTATTTGGGTATCTGGGTCAAAGTGATCATTCTAGCTAGAGGTTTAGGCTCGTACATTGTAGTCCAGCTGTGCTGAAAGTCACTGCACTGAGCTGTTTATTGTGCTCGTCCAGAAATGTAAGAGATGTCTACCCTGGTCAATAATAACTATCAAAGCCAAGGTGAGAATCAGAATAACCTTCACTCTCAACAGCTAAATTGCCAAATATATGACCAGAACGTTTCAAACTGACCTCCGCCCGTTTCGAAAGCAGCCGACCTTCGTCAACAATAACTATCAGAGTCAACAGCACCACTCCAATCGCCAATCGTTGACAAAATAAGCAAGGCGCTGTCGGTGTAATCAAGGATCTTCTATAGAGAAACCTCCCTGGATGTAATGGCTTGCTTGCTTGGTTGGTTGGTTGATAGATGATAACAAGTTAACGTCTGGATAATGGATATCATCAAGAAGACCTTTTCAAAGGAATGACATACACTACTCGACAAAGACAAATACTTTAAAGGTGTTTTAAGATATCAGATTGCCGAATCCTTTCTTCCCAGATGACCTAGTCAAAGTTATTACCGTAACAGTGATCCTTATGAATCTGATGTCCCACATTCCTACTTGGCAGGTACAACATTAGCCATTTGATCCTTTGTTACGGAATTTCTACGACCTACTTCCGGTTATGTCTACGATTACAGCTATGGAGAAGTTAGAAGGGGTATGGGCAGGAAATTTGGAGATCTGAGTACACGATGTTCAAATTTTTCATTTTAATGAGCTCATGCATGCAAGATTCACAGCACTATTGGGAAAAGACCAAACCTCTATCTACCACGGACCTACCATTCTCATCAAAAATATAATAGTTTAGTGGTCTATTATGCATGTCATATCTAATGTTCAATTATTTAATTCGTCAAATTTCCTTATGTCCTTGATATGTCAACACGTGGGGGAAGAACACCCGTGTTTCAATATGAAACAAAGGGGTCAAGGACGGTATACCGTTTTGTCGTGCACTTCTTGAATTCGAAACCACTGCCGTTTTATATCTGCTAAGAACGGCGATGCGCATTTCACTGTATCAAGGCTTATAACATATTTTACATACACTGTACTTGGATAGACACATTTGAAAGATGAATAAATCAACTGAGGTGGCTTGGGAGACGAGGCCCGAAGGAAAAGTGCCTATTGATCCTTAAAAGGCCTGAGGTGTAGGGGGCATGACCCAGTGGCCCAACCCTCAATGCGCCTCTGTGTATATACGTTCATATACCATATGGAGATGGGGTCGTCAAATCCAAGAACAGAGCTTACCAGTCGGGACTCATTCCGACTTGAAGGTCACCTGGCGTTGCAGCTTGGTACGAGTTTACTCATATCCAGACGTAAACAATCCGATATATCAGCTGCTCTTAAACTGTCAGATCGATCAAACCAAACTATATATCATCTTGTAGCAATCTAAGGAATTCTTATGTCATCATTTTAATGGTAAACGAACTCTTGCAGATTCAATAACTATACATGTATTGGGTGTCTATATAAACACAGATATCTTTGTAGACGTTACAGTAAGCGAGTCCTGAAATGTGGACAAGATGTCGCATTGGTCTTGCAGTGAGTCCTCTAAAAAGCTGAGCACACATTATCAGGACAAGCCAAAATAAGTTGCATTGACTCTTCGAAAAAGATACCCAAAAACTAAGCCGAAGAGTGCCAGTACTTCTATGTATCTATACCCATATACTCCTGTACTGAAGCTAAAAACTGCTTTTGATTTGTGTTAGACCACACACATTGTACCAGACCAGCTGATAGGCTTCATTCCTCGCGACATATTAAATTCATCATCTAAAGTAACCGTCCAAAAAAGGTATGAAAACTGTTTTTTAAATTGCTGGTTTTTCGAAGTTAAAAGTTTCGATTTATCACCTTTTCATAAAAGCATTCCTATGTCACCCTGATGTGTAATTTGTTATTTGGAGCATGAAAAGCGGTTAACGAGTCTATCCACGTTCATCTTAAAGATACCACAGTACGATACCCTAGGACGTGGAATAGAAACGAATGGAGTTTTACATCCATTTGGACCGGTTTTTAAATCCACACGACTTGCACCACTAGAGAGCTGATCTACGCCTTATTGGGCTAATGCAACGAGGTTGTAATGTCTAATTGCTGGGCGATGAAATGTGGGCTTTGGTCCCACTCAGCTACATGTTGTAGGGCTAGTGCAATGAGGTCCAGACTGTGTCATGTTACGCCGCCGAAATCAACTATTGGTGCACCTTATGGGATTGGGGTACCTTTGTACAGAATGTTGTACAATAATAAATGCACAAACCGAATACACAATACTGTCTATGAACTATCCTCACGAGACACCCAGTTGACAAAAATACTCGTAGATTCGCAAGGTGACAATAGGAATTTCCGAAGAATATGCACTAACGTGCTCTAGTTATTTGAATCACTCAAGGACATAGATCTTCGTGCTATAAACCCAGCTGATACATACAAATTGCAATCACGGGACTCTGAGTAACGTAACAGCTGGGCTATGACACTACTGGAGTAGTCTTGTAGACCAGTCTCTCTTGTCAAAGTTACGTATTATATACCCCTAGACGGTTGCGGATCTGATGATCGAGTCTTAGCAGAAAGTGAAAGTTTTAGCTCTTCAGGAGCATAAAAAACAGTTTGAAATGACCTTCGGAAGATGTTAATACGACTCAAGGTTATCTACGATCGATCGGGCTGATGATACAGATTACAAATGGAAGTATTGCGTGTAGAATTTAAGGCATGAAATGAAAAATGTCTGTGTCTACTATATCTATTGCATTTCAATTTACTCTTCGTGTCGTAATAATTGAAGAGTCTGAATAAGCTGGAAAGATGGGGTGTCTTCTCATGGCGCCAGTCCGCATCATAAATGAAGTATTGAAGTCAACATCTTCTTGAGGACAAATCATTTAAATGGGGGACAGTAACTGAAGAAGCAGGCTTACAGAAGTAGAGTAGTAAGGGATAATGGGACACTTTATGATGCAGACTAGTGCATCAGTATGCCCCCAATAATTGCACACGTACACATCCTGTTCGTATTTTGAATGCATGAAAATAGACGGGTATTGTGGGTTTGCGGGCGTGTGTGTGATGGGAGAATGGGAGATGAGCTATTCCAGGTAAATCGTGCATCACAGAAAAACCACCATTATTCATACACACACCTGTACCAGTTCCTTCTGTTGAAAAGTGAGTTATTGCCTTTCGACCACCGTAATCATACATGCACCATACTCGACTCATTGAGGCTAAGCATGCTCTGATAATTGAATAAGTCCACATCCTGTCCGCATTTCAATGCAGGAAAGTGGGCGAATTGATAGACTTATTCAGTATTACCCGCGGATTACTGATATCACAGAATAACAAAACAATTACTATATATTATACTTATATTTCAATCCTTATCTCACAGCACGAGATATTGCCTCGTTTTCGATTGTAAACAAACCTCGTTTAGTAAAGTATATAAACACAAGCACATGGTGTAACGGACAGAAATCCCTCGACTACGTCATAGGGGAGATTCCTGATATTGTCTCGTGCTACAGTTCTGTGATTGATTCACCGAGTTCTCATAGAATTGAAGCCAATTCTACTCTGGTTCCATTCAGAGAGTGTTGACGTTCTATTGCACGGAGTTCCCGAAATTTGTTCTTGAATCATACAGTAAGTTCATTTTATTATTTAGTTTTTTAGTTATTGTAAGCATAACCCTTGACATGATCGGAATTGATTTAAGGATGTCTCGATACCTTTGCCGCTGGCGGTATCGCTCAATCACTGAGAGGCAAATTGCGTCATAGCGTTATTACCGGACTGAGTATTGAGTCGATCCACCCACTTTCCCACTATCTTTATCATTTGCAGTGCACTTTGCTATCAGATATGCACATGTAGTAATCTCGAGCACACACATTTAGAGCATTTAATTTTTTGATTTACAAAGTCGTCATAAATATTTATAAATTTGACAGGAATAAACCCTAATATTATTTATTAATGTACAAAGTTTCGAACCCTTTGGCATCGATTTACCTGGCATTAAGCCAGTCTTTTGAACAGGATTTGTCAATACGTCAAGGATATGTGACCTTCCGAGTTCGCCAGGGTCTTAGTTCGATTAAGTAACTAAAGGTTGTGTAGTTTGTGTCACAAGGTCTTAAAGCGACACAAATTGAGATGCAGCTCATAAGCTACAGGGATCGGACGCATTTTTTGTTATTTTGTTATGTGTACATATTGGTAAGAGATGTAGTAAGAGGGCTGTGGTGTTATTCTGGTGAACGCAAAGGGCATCAGCTGTAAGGATTGATAATCTCCGAGGTGACAGAGAGTGCAAGGAGGGAGTATGTCGGTCATGCCATGAACAAGCCTTGGCATCTCATAACATACAGAAAACGGTCAGCGTATAGACCTCTTTTTAATACATGTACATAGAAATACTTGCATTGCAATAACTGATTAACTAAGGCAAAGAATGATAATAACAGATCTGACTTGAACCTGTCTGGGACAATCATGATACCTCTGATAGTAATGGACTAGGGATCTACTTATTACGGATGGTATCTGTCATTTGCCTACTCGTGCTAAAAGGCTTTTACAATTACGTTGAAAGTATTAATAATTGAAGTAGCTCATGAACTTGTTGCACTAAACAACATTGATTCAAACAGAGAATTCCGACCTACAATTCCCAGAAGACCTTACCATCGCAATTGGTGTATGTTTTTACATCTACAACAGTATTCATTAGTAATGTTGCACTATTTGTACTGAAGATCATCTACAATGAATTAAATCTTTATCATCTAATGCAAAACAACCAATCAATAACATCTCCGAGTCCACAGCTTTCGGCATCTTCACCATAATGACCTTTCTCTGTGTTGAACGCCAAGAACCATAAACCCTTAACTGTCCCACCATCCAAGTCCAAACCAAATGAGCAAACCTTTTGGGCACACATCATTGGTTCTCTTTAACTAAATTCATTGTTGTGTTAGTTCCAAACCAGATATAAGATCTAACGATGATTTATTGCCGTTTCGACTGTAGAAGGACACTTAGTAAATTGATACTTGTAATAACTCTGGATTGTTACTCAATATAATTTGTTATTGTCGAGATTGGTTGTCCGCCCACCACATTCCCTCTTGTAGCTTATCAAATACGAGGAAATACTCATTATAAGTTTGGATATCTCGAAAGGAACGTCACATATTGGGCTAATGCAATAAGATTCCGGCTGTACGATGCTGAAATTAACTATTGGTACACCTTATGGTATTGGAGTACCTTAGTACAGAATGTTGTACAATGTTAATATACCAACCGAATACACAATATTGTATATGAACGTAGTCGTAGTCGTAGATTCGCAAGGTGACAATAGGAATTTCGGAAGAATATGCACTAACGTGCTCTAGTTATTAGAATCAAGGACATGGATCCAAAATGAAATGCAATTAAGGGCTTTACTTTACCCATTTGTAAAGGTCTATGGTCGCTGGGTGGTGCAGATAATTCATTAAGATCTCTACATAACTCGTTAAGACAGGCAACATTTTACTTTTCGGCCATTGATGAAGGGAACCGCCACACATTAACTGTTCTGAAAGAGATTCTTACAATTGGTACGATCGGTTTCGTTATGTGAAATGCCCAATAGGAATATTTAATGGTACCTCGTCAGTAGAGTTACACTGGTAAATAGAGAACTGACGACAGTAACTTGTTGATGTCTGATCGCCCACGATATTTACCAGTCTCTCTAGCTTATCTATAGTATATCTTATTTATTATCATTTCCACTTCACGTAATCGCATTGTCTACGGACTGTTTTAATCATATGGGAACAATTAGAATAGCAGTGCGCAATGAGTGGAACTTGTAAACAATTTTTGTTTGATAAAATTACTCGATTACATGTTAACGAATATTCACCACTTCCTCGGGCTGCTAGTTGAAGGTGGGTGGCATGTCATCCATTCCATTCTCTTTTAAACTCTGATGACTAAAACAGACCACGTCATTGGGTTGTTGAGAGTAGGTGGGTGTCATGACTTGGAATTGGAACCCATTCATCCATTTTTAACCTCTGAAGACGAAAAAAGACCAAACGTGTTTTGGAATATGTAATAAGACTTTCTGAAGAATATTTATCACTATAAACCGTTTGAGAACAACCATTCCCAGAAAATATCACTTCATGAATATTCAAGCCGATTTCACACCTGCCTGCTTTCTATGTTTAGAGCAAGTCATTCAGAAAAATAACTTAATGATTCCACCACCCACGGGATAATATATGAAAAACCATCTCAGTAGTGGAAAGGGTGTACATATGTATGCGGTATGTGGACTCTCTGAAAAAGACACTAAGATGACAAAACTCTAAAAATGAGTATGATGACAAACCCAAAGAAACGTCATTAGCTATGAAGACTCTTCGATCAAAATAAACAATAATACCAAAAGGGGAGGGTGGAGAGGGGTCAGCAGCTCCCCCCCACCCCCCCTCGCAGCACCGAAAGAAAGTTTT